GCTGCACGTTCGGCGCCTGGGCAGGTGCGCCGGGTGTCCTCTCACCTGCAGACCCTGCCTCCTCCCTCCGGCCGTGGGAGAGCAAGGCCAGGGTTCCTGCGTGCGCAGCAGTTTCTGTCCTCACCTTCTCCGGGTCTCGTTTTCTGCCCTAGCCCTTCCGACTAACCTCCCCTTCAACCACGTGCTGGAAGCAGTCATCATTTGTAGTTACTTTTACCCCAGACCCTGGTTTTCCTCTCTAGAAAAAGCCACACCCCCTCTAACGGACACATGCACCCCATTCCCTTTTAGTTCTTTCTTCCCTTTTGATCTCTTGCTCAGTCACACGTTAGTGCCCATTTGAGGCACCTCAGGTTTCACTGCCCACAGATGGGATCTGGTTGGGGGTCCCAGCCTTACCCCACCAAAGAGGCCATGTGCCCACTTCCTTGTGGAAGGTAGATTATACTGGCCCTGCCCATGTGACAGGTGTGGAAGAAGCTTTTAAAGGGCTTAAACTGATGTAAAGGGAGGCATTTATCATTGCTTGCAGCACCCTCATGGACTGTGCTAAGAGAGGGTCCTGTGATTCAAGGACACTCCCAGCCGTGCTTCTGCCCACACTTAGCGACACGATTAGACATGCCAGTGAGAGGCCTGCAGGATACAGTGTGTTTCCTGAGTAGCTGGGGACTGCTGTGCTTCCTAAACGGCCAGTTTGCCTCTCCGGTAATCCTGAGCTCTAGTCTAACAGGAAACAGTATAGAGATCGTGTCTTCATAAATTTAAGTATAAAGTGACAAGTGACACTGTAGTTCACCATAAAAGAATATTCTTTGCAAAGCATGAATGTGATTAATACCACATTGAGCCAAGGCCACATCTTTCCACACATAGCAGGAACAGCCAAAGTGTAGGGGAAAGCTAAATTATGTCTTAGCTGTTGCAGCAGATGGATGTTTGGGTGTATGAACAAGTCTGGGCACAGGGATCCCAGACTCCTGCACACACTCAAATAATTCTTAGCTATGGGAGCGCACACTCAAATAATTCTTGACTATCCGCCGCTCGAGGAAAGCAGACTGGGAGTGGCCGGTACTGTAGCTACACCGTGGTGGCAGACAGCACTGTCACATTCACCGCTGAGATGCTGTAAGACAGCAGCTCTTGGAGATATCCTGGGATTTACCTGGAGTTCCCCTCCCATGATGGTATTAATCCCTGTTTAACATGTCATTGTTTACAGTTTATAAAACTCCTGGATGTTGCCTTGTTTGAGGTAACTCCCCGAGTTAAGCAAGGAAGGCTTTATTGCTCCTGTTTTACAGTTGAGGTGGTGGTTCAGAGTGGTTGAGTTGCACAGAGCCCATGGCTAATCGTTTTCAGCTAGGGTCAGGACCCAGCTGTCCTAGTTCCTCACCCAGGGCTGGGAAACTCTTACTTTTTATTGCTTGTATTTAAGAAGTTCCTCATTTAGATGACATCTTTCTAATCCCCACCTTTATGTTAGTAATGTTTTACTTCCCCTGAATTTTGAGAGGGGTTCCCTCTTTGTACTGTTTTCCTCAACCCACACTTTTTAATTTCCTCTGTTTCTTTTCTGGGTCCCAGTGAAATTATTGCCAGTGGACTGTGAGACAAAAACAGACGAGGTAAGTTTGAGTTTCTCTAGCTTTTATTCCTCCCCAGTACTTTTGCGTCCATTAGGAGGTAAACTTGCCCAGAAAGAGATCATAATAGAATCCTTTTCAGGAGCACTTCTGTAATGTACCAGAATCACATCTGTTCCGTGACGTTTGTGTCAGACTCGGCTGTGGCAGCGAGTGAGTACTTGAAACAGAATGGAGCTGCCCAAATCCAGCCGTGGGCTTTCTTCAGCCCTGGCGCCTGGGACTTTGATCTGCTGCCTAAGTCCATCTAGGGGGACGCAGAAAGTTGGCTTTGAGAGGAAGGGCTGGCAGTTTTTAAATGACAGGAGGCCATGTTGTCAATTCCACATTCTTCTCTCCAGTAGTACTCTTGTGGCTCTGAAAATGCCTTTCTGATTTGAAACACTGTGGGGGAGGGGAGCATTTTAAACACATCTGAAGTGGAATTAGCCCTCTTAGTCAGTAGATTTGTTTTATGAAACCTTAATGTTCCCTGCAGATAGTGTTTTGGGACGGTGAGCGGCCCCGTCACTATGAAAGNGTAGATTTGTTTTATGAAACCTTAATGTTCCCTGCAGATAGTGTTTTGGGACGGTGAGCGGCCCTGTCACTATGAAAGGAGCATTAGTGAGGGGCTGGGTGCTGGTACAGGTGGTAGCCTGGGGAAGGTATGAGTAAATTTTCAGGTCATAAATCCTCTCGGGAGGAGCCCTGTGCTGCCAGAGGGCAGGACTTAGTAGTCTAGTTATTAAGTGTGCAATGACAGGGCTCCGGGCCCTCAGTTCACATCTCTCGCAGCCGGGGGCTAGGAAAGAAATAGCACCTGGTCATCTCCATGCCCCTGCATGGCTCTCTTACCCATGTTTCTGACAGGGCATTCTGGTTCATATACCCGGTTTTGCTTCTCTTTGGCTTCTACTGTGTCATATTTTGGTGGTGTGTTTTTTTTATTACATTCATTTATTACATTCATCTACCAAATATCTTTGCTTTCCAATTGTTTTGTAGAAACATATTCATAATTTTCATGTTCCTTCCATCATAAAAACCACAACTGTTAGACATAAAAGCCCAGAAACGTAGGCAGTAGCTAGAGGGGGAACTAGATTTTTGAAGACTGAAAACCAAAACAGGAAAAAATAACTTTCTGTAAGACTTCTCTGGTAATGCTAGTTTTGTTTGTCTTTTAATTAGAAAATGGCTCCCTGTTTTATTTTTTTTTTGATCCTTCACGTCTCTAAATGTATCAGGCCCAGGGCTGAAGGGACAGATTTATTCCCTGGCCCCCCTCTGAGCCACACGTGCTTATTCCCTGCTCGAGAGAGCCCAGACAGGCACAGTCCAGGCCCTTGCTAAAGGTGTGCCCAGTGAGCAGACTGGATGCTCGTAACATCAGAGCATGGCAGGCCAGGGTCCGGGCCATCGCTGTCGACTCCGTGGAGCTGAGACTTCATGGGTGCCCCTGGCCTTCGTGGAGGGAGGACTCGGGAACAGGCAGGTTGGGAGGCCCTCCTGAGCTTCGCTGAGGCTCTTGCTAAAGTCTCATTCTCTGTGTGCTCTGGCTTACCCAGGGCCCAGCAGGCATTTGAGTTTCCCTTCTCCGCCGAATTGGCACTGTAATTTTATTTTTGCCTTTGTGCTACTGAAAACATGGGGACCGGCTAGGAGTCGGAGAGTCGTCTTAATCGGGCTGTCTTGTTGTCCGGTACCTTCGGTCCTATTTCCTTTAAGTGGTATCAGCCCTGCTTCGCCTAAATGTTGGGGAGTTGGAACAGTGTTCACTGTTACTACCTTTTTTCTGGTTGTGACTGTAATAGATGTTTAGTGTAGAAAATTTGAAAATGTGACAGAAAAATCAACCATGATTCTGCCACCTAGAGATAATTACTATTAACATTTTGGGGGTATTTCCTTTCCATCTTATCTTTCTGCATGTATGTTTATAGAATTGGGTTCTTGACATATATTTAGTTACATTTAACATTTATTTCAACATTTCGTATACCTTAAACATTCTCTAAAATAGTTGGGTACCTAACTCTACTAGAAGACACGTGTATTGTTTCTGAACATTTGTGGTCATGTGTACAGATCTTGGTTACATCATTGTGTGCCTTGTAAAGGCTTTGGGGTCTTTAGGCAACGTGAGGGGACAGATCTTGGCCTCTGAGAGTGTTAGAAACAGATTCCTCACATTTCAGATGAGGGCAACTGAGGAGTGCTGGGGAGGAAAGTGACTTTGGTTCCTTCTATAGTTGCAGAGGCAGGCCCAGAACTCAGGCTCTTGGCTTCTCGCCCAGGGCTTTGCCCAGTGACACCCCAAGGAGGCCTGAAATGTGGGGGGTGGGCTTGGAGTCGGCTGGCCTAACTCCACCACTCATGAGCTGTGGGATCTTGGTGGCTTATTTAGGTCTCCAAGCCTCAGGCTCCCCATTGAGAAATTGGGGTACACTAAGGAATGTGGTGGCGATTCATTGCACATCACCTGGCACTACATCCACTTAAGGAAGAGCCACCTTTTTTTAATATTGTGAATCCAGTAAGTCTAGTAATATGGCCTCGATTCTGTTACGGGTGCTGGAGAACTAGGGATGCGTATATTCCTAATCCTATTTTCTCATACGAATGGCTTTTTTCCCCTTACAATTTCAAGCTTTCTAGAAATTTTACTTTTTTAGGGGAATCCAGTCTAAAATTAAACATTTGCAGCAGATACTCCACGAGGCAGAAAATCCCCAGGCAGATTATAAACACTTGAGTCTCCACAGAGGAAAGGAGTGGTCCCAGGGGGAGATGACCCAGCTAGGGTTTGCTTTCTGCCACTACTTTATTTCCCCCAGCCTCTGCTCTTCGGCCCCACCTAACGGCCGTCACGGGGCAAAGACCGGGAGCCTCCAGGATGGTAGCCCTTTAGTTACTGTGTCTGCTCTCACTCCGTCCCTGCGTTTATGGTTCCTTTTCAGTCACTTAGCCCCATATTTATTGACCCTGTCCTTGGGCCCACCATTTTGCGGAATTGGTTTTTATATTTTTAAAATACGAGGTGTTGCTTGGTGCTTAGTACTTGACAGTATGGCTGATGAAGTAAAGCCAGCCAGACCCCCCCCACCTTGCCTGCTATCCTGCTGACTGCTTGTCCTGTGCCCTCTCAGTTCTGTCAGGCCAAGCAGAAGGCAGCCTTGCTGGAGCTGCTGCACGAACTCTACAACTTCCTGGCCATCCAAGCTGGTGAGTAGGTCTCGAGGCCCCAGATCCTCATGAGTGGGTTGTGGGTGATGGCCGGTGGGTGGCAGAGGCGTTCTTAGGTCACCTCCCAGAAGACACACTCAGAAACCAAGTCTCCATTTCCCTACTCAGACCTTTGTTTAAGCCTTGCATTTGGGCAAAACACATTTGGTTCTCATATCCTGTAGAAGGATCTCAGGGGTCCTGGAATATACACAGGCATTTTAGCAGCTATGTGCCCTTCCCTGGATTAGCCTCACCTCATGCTCTGGGGCTCCCTGTTACACTGGAAGGGACCAGGCCCCAGGTCTCAGAGTCTGGGTCCTCCCCACTGGAGGGCCTGCCTGCACCAGATGGTTGGCTGGGATAGGTGGAGAGGCCTGTGCAGGTGATGGGTCTGCATGGTGGGCTGAGCACATTCAGGCCCATCCAGCGTGCCAAGGCCCTGGTGTCACATCTGGTCCTGATTGCCCCAGCTGGCAGTAGGACCTTGGACAAGTCCCTGATAGTCTTTGGTTGTCTCTGGGCCTCCATCTCCCTATTATTGAGTGATCTTGGGTCTCTCTCTCTTTTTTATATATATATTTTTGTTGTTGTTGTTTTTATTTTAGTGAGAGAGGAAGGGAGAAGGAGAGAGAGATGGAAAATATCCATGAGAGAGAAACATCTATCGGCTGCCTCCTGCATGCTCCCTACTAAGGATGGAGTCCACAATCTGGGCATGTGCCCTGACTGGGAATTGAACTGGTGACCTCTCGGTGCACAGGACAATGCCCAACCAACTGAGTCACACCGGCCAGGGCTCTCTTTTCTTTATAAAATGAAAGTCAAGCGCTGTCCTCTAGAGGAGACATTCTCAGCACCCCAGGATAGACCCCTGAAAACACATCCATCCACTGTTTTATTTGGTAAACGCCGTCCTTGAGGCTAAAGATGTCACCCGCATTATTGTGTCCTTCCCTACACCTGGCATCTAGGAAGTCTCTCAGAATCACTTGCTGATGACATAGGTGAATGCCCAGGGCTTGTGCCCGTGTTAAATATACTTGGCATGAGAACCAGATGAGCTGTTCAGTCTTACAGGATGTTCAGGAGGCGCCTCCTACCTATGAGCCAACCCTTGTCTAANTCAGTCTTACAGGATGTTCAGGAGGCGCCTCCTACCTATCAGCCAACCCTTGTCTAAGGAGAGTAGGGGTTGGGTGGACTTGTACTGGGCCCTTCGTCCTCAGGGCCAAGCTTGTGGGCCTCAGCTCTACCACCTCCTCCCTCCCACTGGTGGGAGACTAGAGGTAGTCAGGGAGGTGTCTGTGAGCTCCTCAGAAGAGAGGCGACAGGAGTTGGAGCTCACAACATCACAGTCATCATGGGCATTTCCCTATGGCCCAGGTGCTTGGGGTATAAATTCTGGTCCTTAAGAGGGTGCTCTAAACATTTGTGACTTGACTGTGGTTCAAGCACCAGCAGCAGCTGGGAGCTTATTGGAAATGTAGAATCTCAGGTCCCATGCCAAACCTACTGAATCAAAGTCTGCATTTTACTAAGACCCCCAGGGGATAAAGTTGAGAAGCTCTGCTCTTAAACTGTGAATCCTAGTAGACATTTCTCCTCCATCCTGTCCTCCATATGTGGTCCTCATTTATGCCATCAAGGGACCTGACTCCTGCTGACCTCTGACAAGCCTACCAGGGGAGGCCTGCGGGTATGCATCTCACTGAGGCAGCTACCAGGGAGTGTGGGCTCTGCTAGACCATCCTCCCTTCCCTCACCTCCTGTTGGAGATCCGCTATGGGCAGGGCACTGTGCTGGCCTTCATAGGGTACAGCCCAGGGTCCTGCCATAGGCCACCTACCTCCCTGACCACTGGGTGATGTAGATGCCATTGGATGAGAGCTGAAACGCCACACACCCCCAGAGGCACAATGTCTTTCAGCTAGAATAATCAGGGAAGTTTCACGGAGAGGCCCTGAAGCCCAGGTAGGATTGATTTTGTATATGTGAGGGGAAAGGTGGGGCCAACAAGGCAGGAAATTACAGGGTCAGGGATGGAAACATTTGGCTTCATGAGGGAAGGAGAAACAGGGAATGGAGTTTGGAAGGGTCAGTTGGGTCCCATGATGCCAGGCCACCGGGGCTTAATCTTGCAGGCAGTGAGGCCCGGAGACTTTTGAGCAGAGGAGTGACATGCCAAGGCCAGGTGCTGAGAAGGCAAATGTGGCTGCAGCTTAAGTATTGTAGTGGCATTTAAGAAGACTTATTTTTTATGTTTTTATTGACTTCAGAGAGAGGGAGGGAGAGGGAGAAAGAGATAGAAACATCAATAATGGGAGTCATCTACTGGCTGCCTCTTGCACGCCCTCTACTGGGGATTGAGTCCAAAACCTGGGCATGTGCCCCAACTGGGAATCGAACCCTAATCTCCTGAATCATAGGTCGATGCCCAACCACTGAGCTACGCCAGCCGGGGAAAGCAGACTTATTTTAAAGCTTTAAAGCATGCAGACGAGAAAGGGGAGAGGAGGAAACCAGTCAGAAGGCCATGGCGATGGTCCTGGCAAGGCAGGGCAGTCTGGTTGGGGGTAGGAAGATGGGAGAAGCCAGCTTGGTCTCAGAGGACCCAGAGGGTCAAGGTCAACTTTAAAGCAGGAAGGACAGGCTTCAGTTCATTCTCAAGATTTTAATATTATCTCCAGCCACTCCCTCCCCGGCACACAGACACACGCAGACTGGCCTTTTGAAGCCCCCAGGCGGTCAGACCATGTGTGAGGGTGAAGGATCTTTAGGTGCCTAGCCCTGCATTGTCCCTGCTCAAGGGGTCTAAAGGCGAAGCGGCTCATGGCAGGTGAACCACAGCAGGCAATCAAAAGCCAAGGTCTGTGGCAGGCCCCCAAGCTCAGAGCAATCTGGCCAAATAAGAGGCCCCCACAGGCTGGGGGCTTTTCAGAGGAGGTGGGCTTTGGGCTGGACCCGAAAGGCTGGCAGGACTAGGGAGAGGCTCCCAGCTCCATCCTAGGTGGGAGCCAGCTACCCAGGGTAATTAGAAGGGGGCTTTGGAGCACTACTGAGGCCCCACTGTCCAACACGCAGACACCCCCTTCCTCCATGGGGCATTCTGGTCATCTGTCCCATGACCCCTCAAAACAGCAGGCCTCTACCTTCAGTGGGCTCTGTGTTCCAGGTCACCTGTCTGTATCATGTGTCAGAATCCCGGCAGTGCCTATGGCCTCTGTGCTGGCTTTTTCCCCGGCTTTGTTTGTTTATAGCGCCATTCCAGTACCTTCCAAACCTATCTGTCTGATCCTTTTAGGAATCAATTGCAAACAGACCTTGGTATTGGGCAGTTTTTTAGTCATTTAATGCAAATTGCCACACTGCTTTGCAGGTCAGGTTTTAATGATCTGGAATCGATCCAAGCTAAGTGGCTTTTGATCTTGCTGCAGAGGGAAGATGCCCCAGAAGCCAGAGCATCAGGCCACATGCTCCCTCTCAGCTGATGGCTTCATTCTTGCTGCATTTTTTTAGTCTGTTCAGAGTTATTTTTTCCACCTCTTTTTTGTGTTTGAATGTGTTTTTTCCCCCCTAGGTAACTTTGAATGTGGAAATCCAGAGAAGCTAAAAAGCAAATGCATCCCTGTCATGGAAGCCCAGGAATACATAGCAGTAAGTAGGCTGTGTGCTTACATGTCCTGAGAGCCCTGGTACTTTGGTACTCCTTTTCGCACCCTGTGTTTGTTTGTTTCTCCCCTTTTCATTTTATGTTTGTTTTTTTTTTACTTTTTTGCTCCCTCCACCCCCTTTTTTTTAACTTAGTTGAATGCTAGGCTATCTTAAGTTAAGGTAACATTGGAGGTTGACTGGGCCCAAGGTGAGCTGTGAGCTGGAGCAGGCCTGCCACATGCATGCGGCTCACTGCTGGGCAGCATGCAAGCCACAGCAGGCTTCCAAAAATGGTACTGTCACTTGTTCCCCCTTCAGTTTGCTTTTCTCCCCTTCTCAGCAGCTTTAAGGATACACATGTCACCTGCCCATCCTCTCCCCTTATGAGTACTCTCTGGATTGTTCAGGGTCTGTTTGATCTTCCACACAGCCACAGGATGGTAGAATTATGGATGTTTGGAGCTGGCAGGAACCTTAGTCACCCAGTTCAGTTTTCATTTCACAGATAAAGAAACTGAGGCCCAGAGGAGGGACAGGGACTTGCCCAAGACCACACAGCTGGGACTGGTTGCTGGGCCCTTCACCCCCTACACTTTTTTTTCATTTTACCCAAGATGAGCTGCCACCTCGCTGTCCTTCAGTCCTTGAGAAAATTCTCTTCTGGCTGCCTCAGACCCACATTTTCTCCTGTGTGTGTTTCCGCATCCCCTCCTCCAGATACAGCCTCTTCCTTCGCTCTCATCAGCCCCAGATTTCCTTCCTGCCAGTTTGCTGTGCATTGAGCAGAGAGGGCTTTGGGGCGTGCAGAGGACCCAGGAGAGGGCCCATAATCCAGCAGCAGAATAATGTTGCTCTAGCTGCTCCGCCCATACGCAGAACCGCAGAACTAAATCTCCCACCCCTCCCACAGAATGTGACCAGAACTAATCTCCCGCCCCCTCCCACAGAATGTGACCGGCAGCTCCTCCACCAAGTTTGAAGCTGCACTGACCTGGATACTGAGCAGTAACAAGGATGTGGGCATCTGGTGAGTGTGGGCGGGGCACCCATCAGCTGACTCCCTAGCTCCTGCAGAGGTGTGGGGTCTGAAGGTAGAGGGTGGGTCTCCCAGCTGAGCGGTTGTGAGAGAGGCTGAAAGCTGCTCATGGAAGGAAGAGCATTGGGAATGCAGGGCCAGGAGCAGCTTCAAGATGAGACACCAAGTACAGGTGTCAGGATGGTAGCCTGGGCGATCTGGCCGAACCTGTTTCAGGTGACTCCATCTGTGCCTTTTCATCTGTCAGCTCTGCATGGTTTTCTGGAGAAGGCATTTTTCTATTCGGCCTTTCCTCGGGTGCTAGTTTTCATTTGCAGATGAAATGATTCTGTATATTGGTTTCACTCGGTATGGAAATTGCAAAAGGAAATACTGGATTTTATTCTGACTGGGTAGTTCTGCCTCATTTCTCTCTGGTGAGCACCGTTAGCAGAGATAGCAAGCCCTTTTGCCTTCCTGAAAGGCCCTGTGGGGCTGTGGAGGGTGGGGGGTGGGGACACCAGCTGATGGCTGGATACCGAGAGTTTCCCTGCTGGAAAAACATTCACCTCACCCCGCTCCCGTTTCTCAGGGCTTGTCAGGTGCTCTGTTGAGGTTATAGTTCCTGATACTAAAACTCTCTCTGGGGTTTTGTTCTCTTCGTCTCTAATCCACCCAAATTACTAATTCCATCAGCTTCGCATCCAGCTCAGCCCTGGGGCAGCTCAGCCTAAAGCTTGATAACTGGATGTGTGGCACAATTAAAATTCATTGGCTTAAAAAAAATAATGAAGCCTCCCCAAGTAGCTGAGCAATTTCCCTGTGTTAGAAAAGGCAGGAGACTATACATAGCTGCTGGCATGGGGGGAACGGTGACACTCACCTCTTCATATTGGGGAGGGCGGCTTGGAGGGTGGCTGAGCTGGCTCAGACGACCAGGGTTAAAGTGGGTCATGAGAAACTGGGACACTTCAGGTACCAGCCATTCCAGTGTGCAGTCCAGAGCATGAGCTTGTCACCTACTAGGTGTGTGTGTCGGCATCCCTAGGATCCTGGTGCCTCCTTGCCGGGAACCAGGGTGGAGGCATTGTGCTGGGGCCTGGCCTTAGAGAGCCCATTTTCATGCCCTGTGCCTCGAGGCACCTCCTGATCTCTTCCCTTAAACAGCTTGTGTGCCTCCTCATCACCGAGGGAGAGCACTCTCCCAGACTCTTTCAGTTCTTACCATGCAGCGCAAAGACAGCTATTCGGTAAACATTTCCATTTCTCTATGCTGGGAGGTAGGAATCCAATTTATAGTTTAATCTTCTGCACGCTGAGAGGGGCTGTCAAAGACCCAACAAGGGGGACATCCCTTTAGCTGTAGGCGCTCAAGCCTGCTGCTCTTTAGAGCTTTATTCTTTCTAAGTAGCCAACGTGGGAAATTTCTGGGAAGAGTGCAGCCAGGATATCAAGTCTATTTCATAAGTAAGGAAAGGCCTCGAAGCCCTCCTCCTCTTCTCCTCCTCCTCCTGCTTCTGCTTAAAGTGGGGCTTAGACTGCAGCTCCTCATAGCTTTTGGATGTGTTTACGACCCTGTGTCCTGTTTCAGTTTGAAAGGGGAAGACCCATCTGAACTGGTGACAGCTGTGGACAAGGTGGTCTGCTTGGAATCTGCCCGCCCCCGCATGGGTGTGGGCTGCCGCCTGAGCCGTGCCCTGCTCACCGCGGTTACCCACGTGCTCATCTTCTTCTGGTGTAAGTCCTCACGCACAGCACCTCCCGGGAGCCCAGCTCAGACCGTCCTGGGCGTGAGTGATGACTTAGAGAAAGCCGCCTTTGAGTGTTCGTTTGTGCCTAATCAAACAGAGAACATGAACAGGTCGGCCTCTGCCCTGGCTCACCAGGTGTATGTGGTTAACTAGAAAATGTCCTTGACTCAGGGAAGCGGACCGTCCATGTCCCTGAGGGGGAGGCTGCCTGGGCTGGAGGTGGGCATTATCCTTTCCAGGACCCCAGAGTGCAGGCCCCTGAGAGAGGGACACAGCAGGAGCTTGGCCTAATTTTATTCCCTGAACAATGTAAACACCTTCTGGGGAGCTACAGATACCTGATGAAAGCAGGAAGGACCCAGGGTGCTGAGCTGAGAAGCAGAGTTTAGGCTGTGTCTCCCAACAGCAAGGCTTCCTTTGAGCAGAGGCCTTGGGGAGTCTCTTAAGGAGAAAGACTGAGCCACAGCACCCGCTGGCTCTGCCTACGTAGCCCAGTTACAAATCCCAGGCATCCCGGCATGCACACAGCTCCCTCACCCCACTGTCAGCTACAGACATCGTTATCGGCAGCAGCGTCTCGGAATACAAAGGGCCTGGCATGTATATCTGTGTGAAACCCTGGTTTCCGGTTCCCAAGGGAGGAGATGAAAGCTCCGGAATGAGGTTGGGAGGAGCCGAGTTCTGGGCAGCTGGAGGTGCCTCTGTGGTGACAGCTGGCGGGGAGGAAGATGCTCACGTACTAGCCTGTCCTCCCTTTGCATTTCTGTGTCCTTTGTTTCCTGCATGCTAACCCTGGGCCCAACCCATAGTAGATACTCAGAGCACATTAGCCCACCCACAGCCTCCACACAGCGACCAGCCCATAGGGAGACCCAGGGAGCGTCTGAGCAGCCGGAAGCAATGTGTTTTTATCAGTGCTTTGTTTCTACACAGGCTTGGCCTTTTTGTGGGGACTCCTGATCTTCCTGAAGTATCGGTGGCGCAAGTTGGAAGAGGAGGAGCAGGCCATGTATGAGATGGTGAAGAAGATTATAGGTGTGTGGCCCTGGGGAAAGGGCTGCCAGCCTCTACCCTGAAGTCCTGGCCCTAAACTGTGCTCTCTGTCCTGCAGATGTAGTCCAGGACCACTATGTGGACTGGGAGCAGGACATGGAGCGTTACCCGTACGTGGGCATCCTGCACGTGCGCGACACGCTCATCCCTCCGCAGAGTCGGTGAGTCCTGGGTCTGACCCCACCCAGTGTGGCCTTTGTATCAGGCAGCCCTGATCACATCCCCGCCCCCACCAATGCTGGGCATTTTATGGCAGAATACACAGGACAGTATAGAAGCAGGTGCCACCCCTGTAGAGAGGGGAGCACCGTTAGTGTTGGTGGGTTGGGTGCTTTGGGCACCAAGTGCTAGGACCACCCTCCTTCTCCTAGGGCTCAGGCAGGGAAGGACCTGATTGGTTTCCATGACTGGAAGTCCAGAGTCATGTGGGCTCGGGGCACAGAATAGTCAGATTCTTATGGTCCTGTCCTCTGTGGATGCTGTCAACTGGCTGGAGTTCCTCCTGGTCACAAGATAGCGGCCAGGGGCAGTGTCTGCCTTGCCACAGCCAGCAGGGGGAGGTGAGCTTCCTGTTCTCACGAGCAAAAGAACACCTTTCTGGAAGCTGCCAGTGACTACTCCTTGAGGCTCCGCTGGCCAGAATTGGTTACTTATCTATTCTTGAGACAGTCACTAGCAAGGAGTAGGAGCCTGGTTTTCAAACAGTTTTAACTATGATCCGCAGTCAGAAACACTCATTGCCTAAAATGTGATGGTCCAGTTCCCGTACACATGCACACACAATGCATGCAGTTGAAAGCAAAGTTTCACAGCAGCAAATGGAGTGCCCCCCCCCCCGGCACACGCTGCATGGGAAGGGCCACCTTCCACATAAGACAGAGATAATACCACTACCTTGCAGGCCTGTGGTGAAGAGAGGCTGGCATTCATTCACTCAGCAAGTACTTATTGGCACCTGCTGCCTGCCGCACTGCCCTGGGTCGTGGGGAGCAGGAGAAGCCTGCTGGAGCCGTGGTTCTAAGGAGAGGACACAGGGAAAGATGTGTATGGAGAATGTGTGCTGTTGGATAGTGACAAGTCCCAGGAAAAGGGGAGCAGGGTGTCAGGAGGTAGCCTCATGCTCAGGAGGTCACTGACTAGCACTGGAGCACTCATCAGAGGGCAGCTGGTACTGCTTGGGCTTTAACTGTATACAAGACGCACGTTCATTTAAAGGAGAGCTGGAAGTGGCATTGCAGCTTGTCACAAGGCTAAGCCATCGTGCCCCAGCTCCTGTGTATGAGCAGAGGCCGCAGGCAGCCACTACAGGGTCTGAGTGACCAGAGGCTCAGGCCCTGCCACTCTTAGCCTCTTGATTCCTCTCTGAGCTGCCCAGTCCGTGCCGCTGAGCTCTGGACTCATGGACGCACAAGCTCCTGCCAGCCCTGTGTGGGCACAGGCGGGCATTGTGGGTGAGAGCCTGCTCCTGAAAGATTGGGGAGATATGAGGAGCGTGTAGTGAGGAAAGCAGGGAGCTGAGGAGAGGAGCTGCTGGGCTGCCTGTTTGTTACCTATTAATAGGCAGCCTGGGGAGGACGACTCCCACAGACCTGGCCCCCTCGGGGGCTCAGTCCCTGGGTGTGTGTGACCTCAACCAGACCAGCCAGATGGGGGCTGCCAAACAGCTGTGTGGTTTGGTTGGTGGCAGGCCCCACCCCTAGGAAACCAGCCTCCACAGCCCCTGCCTCCTCAGGAGCTTACCCCTTGTCCTCCCCCAGAGTGAGACTTCCCGTTCTCACTCGTACGCACACTCCCCACATGTGAGTTTGTGGGGAGGTAGTCTGCAGTACTGACAAAAGTCAGGGGCTCGTCATATGGTAGGTGTCCAAGCAACCCTCCCCAACCGCCCTGGAGCCTTCCCACCTGGCCTGGAGAGGGGACTCCCCGAGGGGATACAGGACCTCTGGCTACTGGCCTTGGCCAGCCGGCCTGGGAGGGGCCCTGCCTGGTAGCTCTGGTTCCAGAAGTGGCTCCAGCTTTCCACCTCCCCAGCTGGATGCCTAGCTCATCCCCATCCCCTGAAGTGCTGTGGAGTTTAGACTCGGCAGCCCAGCGGCCACACTTTAATTAGCCCACATGAGGCATTAGGATGTAGGCAGGACTGGTTGGGGCCGCCTGGCCAGGCTTGCTGCAGTAACAGGCCCAGTGAGCATAGCCCCTTCCCACTTGGACACCCAGGGCTGCTTCAGACACCACTGGCCCCTTTCAGCTCTTTAATTGAATGCTTTTGGAGCAGAAAAAGTCAAGGAGTCATTTGTACGGGGCCCAAGAAATGTCCCTCTGCAGGAGTCCTGTTGGAACGTGACAGCTTCTCCTCATGTAGATAAACTCTGCATGGGACATGGAGCTTTGCCCCCTTCATACAAAGGGCGTCATCCACAGACCAGTTGGCCTCCCTGGGCAGAGCAGCCCGAGCTGCCAAGCCCAGCGTGCCTTCTGAGCCTGGCCATCTCTTCACAGGAGGCGCATGAAGCGGGTCTGGGACCGGGCTGTGGAGTTCCTGGCCTCCAACGAATCCCGCATCCAGACGGAGTCCCACCGCGTGGCTGGAGAAGATATGCTGGTGTGGAGATGGACTAAGCCCTCTTTCTTCTCCGACTCTGAGCGATAAACCTCGGCCAGGCCTGTCCCCAGTCAGCCTGTCCCGGCCAGCCCCCTCAGGGGCTCTAGAGGGCCACCAGACCTGCTGGTGCTGAATTCACACTTGCCTTGACGTTCACCTCCTCCTGACCCTGGTTCCACAGTTCTCTCTGAAAGACTCTTCAGAGATTCACTTAGTAGGAAAGCTGAGCTTCCTTGGAGGGTGGAGGAGAGAGGCCAGAGGCAGGTGGGTGGCTTGTCCTCTGCATTGGCCCATCCTCTGCCAGCAGAAAGTGGAGAAAGGTCTTTTTCATGAATGGAAAAGAAGAGCAGCAGCTGTGAGGCCCTGCAGAGCAAGCATGAGGTTGTGTGTAGATGCTGGCAGGGACATGGGTCGGGATGGTGGGCTGGGGCAGCAGGGGTCGGGGAACAGCTTGTCCATGTGCCTTCAGGGGGTGTTACCTGGGAGCTCTAGCTGGATGGGGCCTCTTATCCTGAAGGAGCAAGGTGCTAGAAATTAGAATCAGTACTGTAGGAGAATTACCTAAGAATGCCTGGCCCTGGCACACTGGCCTAATGTCAGGTGAGCTGCTGGTGTGGCCTTCTGGGAGGAACCTGGAGTAGTCACAGGGCCCGAGAGCAGAGAGGAGTGTCTGGGCTGCCACCAGCCACCATCTCCGTGGCCTGCCTGAAGCAGCCTCCCAGGGTGGACCTCTCAGTGGTGCCTCTCACAGGAGATGAGGTTTTATAGACCAGACCTGCAACCAGGACGCCGCATCCGGCTGAGTGTGTGATTCCACCACCCAGGACAGCGGGAACCTCGCTCTTCCAGTGTGGGAAGATCACCTTGTTTACAATGACCACAGCCTCCCCACCGGGCTCCTTAACCAGAACCGTCAGCATACAGTGGCTTCTGTGCTCAGGCAAGGCGTGGCTGCCGCACCACTGCCCCCTGCTGGCCACAAGAGAGCCTGCCTATGGCTCCTCGGACCCTCATGCCTGCCAGCTCAGCAGCCAGCCTGGTCAGGGGGTGGTCTCCAGAAACAGGCCTGCAGGAGCCTTATTAAGTGTAGGAGCCTCTCCAGTATGTTCACATCTGCAGCAGGCAGGCGAGGGGGCAAGCCGGGAGACACAGCAGCTGCCTCCAAAAGGCGTTAACCACCCTTACTGGTCTTACTGGTATTTTTTGTTTTCTTACTAAAGCTCCAGTCTTCCCTCATTCGAGCAACACCCTCATTTTCTCTTATGTCTGGATGATCGGTGGGCCCCATGGCAAAGAAACTCTCTCATAATCAGGCTCCAGCCAGAGTAAGAAACACAACAGCCTCACTATCAGGGTTGAAACAGATAAATAAACAATTTATTAAAAATGGATGTGCTTCTCGCCTCGCCGCTTTCCCTTTCCCCTGGAGCAGTGTATGAGGAATGGTGGTGTGTGGAGTTATTAGCACTGGCTCCGGGAGAGGTCACCTGGAGGAGGCACCACCGTGTGCCTGGGCCTTTTACCGCTGGGCTCAGCCTCCCAGCACAGGGTCCTCCTGCAAACCGCAGGACTTCACAGAGCCCCAGTTTTCACATGTAAACTCAGAGTGACAACCCCTGCAGGGCAGACCTGCAAGATGCCTGCCTGAGCCTCTTCCCTGGGGCCTTAGTTCCTCCTCCCCTCAAGGCCCCAGGTGCTCAGACCAGGCCTGGGAGACAGGAAAGAGCAGTGTGAGGTTGGATGGGGTCTTCAGCAGCTAACGGTGTCCCCTGAGGAGGTGGGCTGGTGCTGACAGCGATGGTGTCTCCTTGGGGGCCCATCACTGGGGAGAGCACCGCACCTGCAGGGGTGCCACTGCAGGACAGAGGTTTGCCTAGTGTGCTTGGGGCCTATGGCTCTCCACCGGCACCACCCCTACCCAGGGCGCAGCAGGTGCGGGGTGAAAGCTGCAGGCATTCGGGGTTGGCACCACAATCCAGAGGGGCCTTCTTCTCGGGCAGCGTGGGAAGAAGGCAGCCTCTGAGCTGTCCCCAGACCCATCTGTGGGTGGTGACTGGTGCTTGAGCATCGCCCTTCTGTCCTGTCAGCTGGAAACTTGGTGGGGAAATTGACAAAGGACCTAGAAACACACCCAGAAGAAAATGAGCCCATCTTCCCCTTTTCTGTTTTCCAGTGAAGGGTTTTCCCTCCACCCTGTTTGTCTTAAGCTGGGAAGAGAGCTAATGCTGGGCTCTATTTCTGTGAAGCTGTTTGGAGAGCAGGAATGAGACCAAAATAAATGAAATAAAGCCCCCACCAGCCTGTCCTTTATAGTCCACAGAGTGCTGGGCACAAAGGCCCCAGGTGCATCCTCAGATGGCAGATGGGCTCTGCAGCCAGCTGGGCTTTGAAGGGCCGCAGGACAGTGCAGGGTGCTGGGATCCGCCCGAGGCAGGGTCCTGGGGCCTTCGGGTGGGAGCCCTTGAGAGGTTTCCGTTCCTCCACCCAGTACCTTCCAAGCACTCTCCGGGCCACAGACCTGTCTTTCCTCAGTGTCAAACAGCCTCTCTGTGTGGTGGGCGCCAATGAGGCTTGGGGTGGGGGGGGCTAGGTGGTACCCAGAAATCTTGGCCTGGACGTCCACACAGGAGCTCCAGGCTACCTTCCAGAGTCTCAGCTCAGGAAAAGGTAAACATGGCCATTTGTCACTGACTTATCATAGGAACTGCAGCAGCAGCTGTTCCCCTTAATTAAAGCACCATTGACTTTGAGCCTCAAAAAAAATCCCTTTGTTGAGGCAGGTGTGTGGACTCAAATCCATTATCCTGTCGGCCTCCCCCAGAGGGAAGGGGCAGGGAGTGGTGGTGCCCCGAGTCGACCCAGCTCTTTGGAAACAGCCAACCCAGCTCCACCCTGTCGCCAGACAAAGCTCTGGAGACAAGGCGAGGATCCGGCCAGAGGGTCCCACGATGCGCCAGGGAACAGGCAGAGGGGCTGGGTGGGGGCATTGCCGCCTGGCGCTGCCAGGTTTCCCAGGGTGGGGCTGCACTGGGGCAGCGTACGGTTGGGGACTCAGCATCCTCAGGACCAGCTCTGTCCTTTACTGGCTGGGACCTTGGGCTAATCACTTTATCCTGACAGCAGGGGAAGTTATTAGAAAATATTTTAAATTAGCCAACGCAGGATAGCATTAGGGCACACTCATAGTAAGCTATAGCACACTGAATCCTCACAACCACCCATGCGTAGGTGTGTTGTTATCCCCTTTATAGGGGGGAAACTGAGGCACGGGGAGGTCAGTAGGTGGTGAAGCCAGGGTTTGAATTCAGCCCAGCTCCAGCACCCATGTCCTTCCCCTGCTCTCTTCCTTTCTCCGAAGAACAGAAGGGGGAGCCACGCGCAGTTCTGCTGTGGCTTTGCCGGAACAGAATGAAACCGCCTTGGGCCAGAGGAAGAGGCTCGGGAGGCTCCTCTTGCCTGCGCTTCTGGTGTCCCCACTCTGCTCAGGCCCCGCCTTGCTTCCTCACACCACCGGCCCACCGCTGCTCTGAGCTCTGCGCCCGCTGCTCCACCCGCTCTCTGCGCCATCTCCCGCCTCTCCTTCAGGCCACACGCCTGTGGCGCTGCAGCTGCCCTGACCCTCGCAGCCTCCGGGCCCAGCCCTCCTTTGCCTCTCCCCTAACACCGCACGGGCCACACTTTTCATTCCTTACTTGTACTGCCCCCTGCAGGCTGCCAGCCTGCTACCTGTCTCCTGGGGTGGTCCACGCCCCCCTGCCCAGGGAAACGCTGGCCTCACAGGGAATCGGGCTGGACTGCCTGAGACGGGGCGGGGCTCACGGGCAGAGAGGCAGAGAGGGAACCAGCCTTCCCAGGCTGGGGAGGGGGGTCGCTGGGTTTCCTCACACGGGACACTGGACGGCCTGCCAGCCACCGTGGTGACAGCAGGCCCCCTCCTCTCGGCCAGGCACCAAACCAGGCAGGCCCCAGGCATCGTGCTGGCCGCTGGTTGGGAGCCCTCTGTCTGAAATGTGCCTTCTCTGTAGCCCGGGTCGGGGAGGGAGGGCTCAGAGCAGATGTCACACGAAAGGGACGGGGGTTTCTTCCTGCCAAAAGTGGGGACCAGTCAGGCCATGGCGGAGGTCTCCATGAATTCACGGCTGATCCCTTCAACCTCGCAGGGACGTGGTGAGACTCCAGCAAACCCCGGGAGCACTGCCCGCCTTGCGGCCAGCACTGGGGTCGCCGGCCAGGCGGATGAGTGAGAAGAGCCTGGAACAGCCTCGGGAGCGGGGAAGAGCTGCGCAGGCTCAGAGAAGCAAGGGGAGAGGTCTCACTGGGGATTACAGCCTGGTTTCTAAGCCGCTTCTGCNAACAGCCTCGGGAGCGGGGAAGAGCTGCGCAGGCTCAGAGAAGCAAGGGGAGAGGTCTCACTGGGGATTACAGCCCGGTTTCTAAGCCGCTTCTGCTTAGTGAGGAGACAGGGTAAAGTACAGTAATTTTCTTCAATGAAAACAGAATTCCCTTTGCCTCGTTCCCCTTGCAATTAAGCCCTTCTCTGCAAATGAAGTAATGCGGATTTCCGAGGGACTAATTTAAGAACACTGGAAGGGCCGCTGAACTTTCTGATTGCAAACACCGGCGTGCAAAACACAACCCCACGCGGCAAAGCCGGGCTGGGAGCTGCGCCCTGCCTGGGGCGGCTCCCGTAGGTGAGCTGGAAGAGTCCCGGGTGCAAGTCCAGCTCTGCCCTGAAGTCCATGTGTGGACTCTCGGTGTGGCCAACCCCCTTCCCCTGCAAGCTGCCGCCCTCACCTCCCGCGTGTGGAGGTGGGACGGGACCTGGGGCAGGTTCAGAAGCCTCTGACAATGTCTGCCCCTCCTGTCATCAAGAGCTGAAGTCTGAATCTGGGCCTGCCCTGTGACCGCTCCGACCAGTGGAATGTGGCCAGAGGTATACGGGCTAATCCTGAACCAAGGTCTGGGAGGTTGTCACTTCGGCCCCCACCCCTTGGGCCCGGAGCCACCCAGTAAAGAGGAGACAGTTGCCCTGCTGGAGAGACCTTGTGGAGAGACGGACGCCCACCAGCCCCCAGCTGTGACAGGCGTGAGTGAAGCCACTGTGCCAGCCCTGTGTGGACAGGTAAGCTGTCCCCCCCAACCCTGCCCAAATGGCAAAATCATGAGTAACATAACACGTGGTTGTGGTAAGCCATTAAGTTCATATTGTCATTATAACTTTTATTTGAAATAGTTTACAACTCACAGAAGATGCAAAGACAATAGAGATTTCTCCTGCCTTCACCCAGCTCCCCGCAGTGACGACACCCCTCGTAGCGCAGCATAGTCTCAGCCGGGAAGTGGACCCTGATGCAACGTTGCTAACTCGGGCACAGACCTATTTAGGCCTTACTGAGTCTACATGCGCTTCACAGTGTGTGTGTGTGTGTGTGTAGTNCGCAGTGACGACACCCCTCGTAGCGCAGCATAGTCTCAGCCGGGAAGTGGGCCCTGATGCAACGTTGCTAACTCGGGCACAGACCTATTTAGGCCTTACCGAGTCTACATGCGCTTCACAGTGTGTGTGTGTGTGTGTGTGTGTGTGTGTGTGTGTGTAGCTCTATAAAATTTTATCACACAAAGCCACCAAGTATTGGGTGGTCTGATGACTGATACAAGTATGGATGAGGTCCCTAGAGTGTGTATTACTCAGCATTTCTCAGTTGAAAGTGACAGAAACACAGTCCAGACAAACTTCAGCACCAGGTGACCGCATTGGCTCACATAAGTCAATGAACTGAGAGGCAGGGGCGCAGGCCCGAGCAGCCCATCCAGGGTCAGGGGAGGTGCCAGGGCCTGGATGCCAGCCAGCTGTTCTCAGAGGGCTCCTGCATCTGGCTACCACCAGGCTGACATCCAAGGGAAGGGAGAGAAAGGAAAGGGGCCCACGTGCAGGCCAGTCACTGGGGATAGAGCAGGGTGGTCGGCACCGAACCTGGGCCCCCCCATCCTGAAGGTGGGAGGTGGGGGGAGCACCTCTCAAGGGAGGGGTTGAGCTCTGAGGCTGAGAAGAGAGGAAGGCCGAGCACTGCAGGCAAAATGGGTGAGAGGCCAGAGCCAAGCCCCAGGCACTGGCCCCAGGGGGGGAAGTGGAGGAACATTCCGCACCCAAGTGGTGAGCGTCTGAGTGGTGTGGTGGGAACTTGGTGGCCTGAGGGACAGGGACAGCTCATATGCAGAGTAGCCACTGAGACCATTTGCCAAAATTCCTGGCACTGGAAAAGGTTAGACGTCCCTGCTTC